CCCATAAATCCTTCAGACTAGTGAGTCACGGAGAGACGCTGCTCAGGTCTCTCTCTCTGCAATGGCTGCAGCCTTTGTGGCCTCTCCCGCGTTTTTTTTTTTTCTTTTTTCTTTTTTTTTTTTTTTTGGCATCTACTTGCTCCCTTGCTTGCCTAGCGCCAGTGATTTATGAACACCGGGAAAAATTGAACAAAGCCGCGTGCTCCTCCTGTGGTATCTCTGCAGCCTTCCCCAGCGTGAATCAGAACATTACCAACTGTCTGCACTTCTGTCCCACTTAGTCAGCAACCAGAGAGGGAGGAAGGAAGGAAGGGAGGGAGGGAGGGAGGGAGGGAGGGAGGGAGGGAAGAAGGAAGGAAGGAAGGAAGGAAGGAAGGAAGGAAGAAACTCACATTTCCCTGGACACAGAGCCTCCCTGGACTCGCAGCAATCTTACAAGAAAGCCTTGGACCTGGTAAGCGCCGGACAGCTCCGTTTTCCACACCAAAAGGCTCTGCCTTCCTGGTGGAGTTAAATTAAGCCTTTGGAGATAGGTCTGAAGGTGTGTGTATTTAAAAATCAAAGAGGAAGATGAAGTCTCACTATTGAGAGATGCATTCCTAGTGAGGCCCTGATGACTCAGATCCATTCCTGACGATCTGCGTTAATTATTTAATGAGTCACGTGACCACAAAGATCACAATTTCAATATCTCCTTCTACTCTAACAGGCGCTACACCTTTATCAGTGGCAACCAAGGTCCATACTTGGCTTTTTTTTTTGTTCCCCAGGTTTCCAAAACACAACCATTCTTGTCCTAAAAGGGAATGCCATGGACATGCTGGGTTGAGCACTGCAGAATTAGTCATTCTGGGGCCACCAGCCCTGTAGGCACCCTCACCTGAGCAGAGTGGCCAGTGCACCTGCTTGAGTGGCAAGGATAAGGCAGTTCAGTTACATCATCTCCCAGGGCAGCTTTAGGAACACATCCCTTCTTCCTCCAGACTATACACACACCTGTGACCCCACCCATCTGCGCAAGCCTAGATACCCATCTCCAGTCCTCTATTCCTGTTTACCCTGCAGCAGAAAGATGTCGATGCACTTCTGCCCATCCAGAGTGGTGCCAAAGGTTCTACAACCCACATTCTCATTAGCATAAGGAACTTGAAGAGAGTCATCCAACTGCCTCAGTTTCCTCTTCTGTACACTGCGACAACTAAACTAAGATGCCCCCCAGTTCTCTTTCGTCTTAACATCTTCAGATTAGAAATGGGGACATCTGAGTTCTAAGGCAGCAGTGACAGATTAGGTTTCATGACACCTCCCTGGTATTACCCCATTTCTTCTCCTCCTCTGCCCTGTATACCATCCTTTTTGTTTCCTTTTGTTTTTTTCAAGACAGGGTTTCTCTGTGTAGCCCTGGTTATCCTAGCACTTGCTCTATAGACCAGGCTGACCTCAAACTCAGAGATCCATCTGCCTCTGCCTCCCAAGTGCTGGGATTAAAGGTATGCACCACCACCACCACCAGGCGCACACCATCCTCTTTTAAGTACAAAATATTTTCCCCCTTGATGCAGTGTATAAGAAAGGGATGCCAGGAACAAGCAGTTGGAAAAGGTTAGGACTGAGTTTTTCCTTGTAGGACTACACCTATTGATGCAGAGAGCAAGGGAATGGTGGCGAAGGCCTATTGCTTGTACAGAACCCACTCGTGGGGATCAGAAGCCCGAGGTCTTCATTTACTACATGTATTCTTTGGAGTGTCTCTCCTTCCACTCTAAAGAGTTGCTGATCTGTTTCTGTGTTGGAACTGCTAGAGGGAAGGCAGCAGGGGACAGTGGCACAGTTTGAGAGCTTAGTGGTGTCCAGAAGACATGGGGAGAAGGGGAAGAAGTAGAGGGACTAGGGCACTCTGGGATTGCCGATATAAAGACAGAGACAGTGTGAGTGAGCCCACCCCATATATCTGGGTAATCTTCCCATGAGCTCCATCCTGGGTATTAAGTACTCCACTATGCCTGTCACAGATGAATTCCTGCTGTAATAAAACACCGGGTATATCGTAGATTTCAGCGAAACTAGCACAGAAAGCCTGCAAGCTGCCATTTTTCTTCAAGGGGGAGAGTGTTAAGTACTTAATTCAAACTGTGACCATTAAAGTGTCTCCTACCCGATTTAGGTTGATTTCAGATGTTGACAAAACTTTTCTCTCCAGAGGCATGCACAGCTTGGCTCTGTGACTAAAGGGGATGATTGTGGATGGGAGGAAAAGAGGGGAAAAGTGGGAGGGGGAGCATGGGCAAGGGTCGTTTTGGTAAGAGAACTACAGAGTTTACACAAAATACTGTCCTTAAAGGTCAAGGGTTTGAAGGACTAGTAGGTTTGCTTTAAAAAAAAAAACAATTAATGAGATAGAAAATCTGTCCTCTCAGTGAACTCTCATGGCTGCCCTGACAAAGGGCAGACAATGAACGATTTCAGAGTGCACAGTGAGATTTTCTAAGCTGTTCTAGCGAGCTCCCCTAAAGGCTGCCTGGATCACAAATAGAACACCCACCATGAAGAAATGGCATAATCATTCATAGCATTTTCAATAACTTTGGTTTTGCAAAACACCAGTATCTTAATCATCAATGCAAACATGACATCTTATCCCAAAACAGCATTAATAAAAAAAGGATCTTGTCTCTTGTTTCCTTTTCTGAATGGACAAATGAAAGGCACCCCCTTCACCTACCCACCAATAGCTCCAGAATGAAGTCAGTTTGTGCCCCACATCCTTCCTTCCCCACTGAGGAGAAATATAAGAATTTACCTTAAGTGATGAAAATCTGCCATTTGAGATTTTGTGGCTTGACATTCAGTTTTCACTAAGAGCCTATGTGTGTGCGCGTGCGTGTAAATACATATGCATTCAAGCAAGATGCTGCCTCTTTGCCTGAGAAAGCATTATGTGCAAGAGGACCCCTCTTCCCTCCAAAGACACTTCCCAGAGAATGCCTTTCAGAATTGCTGTTGAATTACAAAGAAGTATTTATTGTATGAGGTGATTAATGATTCCTGGGGAAATTGCTATTTTCAGTGTGATTTAATTTTGCTTTACAAGTGCGTGTAGTAGGGGAGTTAATAAGTTGTAGCTGTTGCTACACTGCCTCCACAAATGCTCAGTGCCTGTTCACACCTTATAAAATGCACTTTTTGCCAGGTTCTTCCTGACTTGGGAAGCCATATGTATACTCCTTTCCCCCATGAATTCTCTTGGTCTCTCAGAGACTACAGCCCATCACTTCTTTCTAAAAGCTAGTTTACCTACAGGCAGAGAACAGATTCTCCCACCCCTGCCCCTGGGCTTGCTTGTACTCAGTATAGCAAGGGTGGCTGAGCTTGTCCCACTTATGGAAATGGTTTTAAATCCCCTCTGATGTTACAGAAGTAGGTGAACATCCCTTCCCTCCTGTACATTTATTACAAACCCCAAAACTGTTCTGCTTCAAGGCCAGGTGGCAGTTCTAATATTATGTACAGTGTGTGTGTGTGTGTGTGTGTGAGTGTGTGTGTGTGTGTGTGTGTGTGTGTGATGCCTGAGTATCAAATTTCAACCAATGAACAAGTACTAGGGTTACAGAGATAGAGAGAGGAGTTTCTTTTTTTTTTTTTTTTTTTTTCACCATTTAGGTCTAGATCTCTGGGTATGCACAGAAAACCCCTCCCCCAGCACTGAGGAAAGTGACCCTAATCAGAGTTTGGCTTTCTTCCAACAGTGAACTCTTTCAACTCTACTTTGCATAGGGTGTATTTTGGGGTGTCATTATACTTCTTACTCCCTCAGAGGATACTTTGGAGAGTGTGGTGGGGAAAGTTCACTTGACTCTAAAAGCTCTTCTTAAAGAAGCAAACAAAAATTCCCAAGCTGTGTTCAGCGAGAAGACTGTCAGACCAGCCAAAAAAACAAAAAGCAATCTCAACCCTTTGCACAAACTATTTTTTATCTCCAGGGAAACAGGCAGATTAAGTGTGAAGGTGCAACGAACGCCAAGGGGCCCGCCTCTTTCCAAGTGTGCTCAGAGTTCATCCTGGGGAACAGCTGCAGAAACTCCTGGGCCTCTGCTCTGCACGGTTTCACCTTTCATTGCAGGGACGGACATGTTTCGATGCCTTACAGAGACTTGAAGCCTGAAAGCCTGGCCAAGTTTGGAAAGAAGAGGAGCCCTCTCAGGACTCAAGAGCCTTCTGCTTTTTGGAACATTTCCATAGTGGGTCAAGCTTGACAAGAATTCAGATCAAGTTGAACACACACACATATGCACACAGACACAAATTCTAGAGCACTCAGAATGTGACCCCAGCTCACACTGTCTACAAGGCTTCTGCACACAGGTCAAATATCTCCACCAAGAGGAATTGGTTTCTTTGTACTTTTGTTTTTATGAAAAGCTTGGAATACATACAAATCTGCCTCTTACGTCTTCAATGTTTTTTAAAATGTTTATTCTTAGCACATTCCTTTTGACACAGCCATACCACTTTGTACAGTTGCAAGTGGATCTAACTGCATTGCCCTCTCCCCCAAGATTGTGCCCAAGAATAAGACAACAATATCTCTATAACAGTATCTTAAATAAATGCATGAAGAGGAAACTACATGCCACACCTACCATCAAGGTCTACACATTTTGAGAATTAAATAATCTGGTGAGGTCCACAATGTCTACTCAGTAAAGCTCATGTGAGCTGCCTGAATGTAGAAGATGAAGGTCAGGGAGCTGGGACAGCCTCTTCTGCTTGTAACAAAGATACAAGTACATATCCCCAGTCAGCATGCGCTGTCCAGCTGACTCAAGGGTCTTCGATGACAAGCCGACGACCCTAGGATACCTCATAGGTATCCAAGCCTGGAAAGGCTGTCCTCCAGGTCAGCAGGTTGTTCATTATGCAGTGTCCAGGGCAGATGTCCTCCTGGGGATCGCACAGACACTTACCAGGGATACTCTCTTCTTTTTGGTTATGGTTTCCAGCAAGTTGAATTTTGTTTTGGTGTATGATATGGTTTCCTTGGGGAGGAGTGGATGAGAATAGGAGCAGGAAAGGAGAAGGGCAGGTAAGTGACAGAAACTGATTTGGTCCCCAGATGGTTATATGGAGGAGGAGGGAATGGGTGTGGAGGCACTGGGGAGAGGGTGGGGATGGGGGTGGGGGCTGTGAGTTTGTGCTTTCCCAGGCGGGCCGGCAGGGGCCGAGGTAGGGTTGGAAGATCGCATCTTGGTGTTGGGAAGTTTGTGGTCTTTCTTCCACTTCATTCTCCGGTTTTGAAACCAGATCTTGACCTGGCGCTCAGACAAGCAGAGCGTGTGGGCGATCTCGATGCGGCGCCTCCGGGTCAGGTAGCGGTTAAAGTGGAATTCTTTCTCCAGCTCCAAGACCTGCTGCCGGGTGTAGGCGGTTCGAGAGCGCTTGGGCTCGCCTCCGTTATAACTGGGGTTGACTGAACGCCAGGACCCCGAAGGAGAAGGCCAAGGAGGAGGGAGTGGAAGAGAAGGAGAGGAGGAGAGAGGAGATAGGGTGGAGAAGAGCAATTGGACATCATCATTATATAATAACCTGACACCAAGTTCACGCAAGATACATAAAACGGCAAAGAAAATGTTTCACAGGCTATTGACAACGGGAAACACCCGAGAGCCATAAAGAATGGTGCTGGGCATTGGGGCTGAAGAAAAGCTTCAAAGACACATGGCCCGGAGCCTCTGCCAGGGCAATTAAATTTATGGGGGCTATAATTACTGCCCTAACAGTTTGGCGTCTCGTAAATCTTGGGATAAAGGGACCCTGGGTACAAAAGGGTTCTCACGTTGGGACCAGGCTTTGGGCAGCGCATACACACCCACAGCCAAAGCGCGGGCCAGATGGGGGGCTCCCCTCCCGCGCCCTGCCCCGCGTCCCCTCGCCCGCTGCCCTCCCAGCGGCGCCACATACCGGCGCTCACGTGGATCTTCTTCATCCAGGGGTACACCACCGGCTCCTTGCCCTTCGGGCCCGCCGGCCCCTGGTCCGCCAGCAGCAGCGGGCACGCGGGGGCGCTGCCCCCCGTCGCGACAGCCGGTGTGGCGGGGCCTGGAGCGCAGTGCCGAGGGGGCGCAGGGGCTGGGCTGGGGTGCGCGCCGGGGACCGGGGACTGCTCGGGTCGCGCGGGGCTGGCGCCGCGGCAGGCGTAGGGGCAGGCGGCGGCGGGCGCGGGGTACAGGCCCCCGGGGTAGCTGGACTCGCGCGCCCGTGGCGCGTAGTAGGCGGGGGGCTGGCGGGCAGCGCGTAGGTTCGGGGCCGGCAGGTGCGGGGTGGTCTGCGGCCGCGGGAAGCCGGGACCCCCGCCCGCGCCGCCGTCCCCTCCGCCCGGGCCGCCGTGCGGTGCGAACTCCTCGAAGGGAGGGAACTTGGGCTCGATGTAGTTGGAGTTTATCAAAAACGAGCTCATGGTCATTAATTTGTGAAGTGCAAAAATACTAATTTTTCTCGCGGTGTCGTTTTTCTGCGCTCGCTGAGGCCCCTCCCCCTCTCGCCGCGCTTCCCAGGCCCCCCCACCCCATCCCGGGCGCCCGCCCCTCCCCCCGCTGTCAAACGCCTGCCCTTCCCCCTCCCGCCGTCGCCGCCAAAGTTCGCGCCGCTCCTCCCCCGCCCCGCGCGCGCGCTCCCCGCAGCCCTGCGCGCCCCGCCCCGCGCCCCACGTGCCGCGACCCGGCCAATGGACGATCGGCGCGCGCGGACCCGGATCAGGAAACACGCGAGGGCGTGATGGATGCGGCTCTCCACCCGGGCGGGAGGCGTGAGCTGGGGCTTGGGTGCCTCTGCCCCCCAACTTGGATTCGGGCTGAGAAGTCGGGGCCCGTTAGGCTGTGGGTCCTGTCGAGCCCTCTTTCTGCCCACGTCTGTCTGGGGCCGACAGAGGCCTCGGGGCAGCTGGTTTCCACGGCTCAGCGCTGACCTCCAGTCCATCCAGGCCTCCGGTGATCCTCCGAGGGTTCGAAGCCCTCCAGGAGAGGAAAGGACTCTGGGACCAAGAGGCAGACCTTGACTTTTTATCCTAGCCCTGAAATAAAACGGAGGAGGCCTACAGACCCATTTTTCTCGTCCGTGTTTTGTTTTTGTTTTTTACCCGCACCCTGCACCTCCACCCGGCTGTCGAGGGAGTCCCTTGCGAAGCCGGCCTGGAGCCGCACAGAAAGGGTGGGTGGAATGAGCCGCTAAACAATACTAAAGGATGTACAGGGAGGACAGCCCAGTAAAACCGCAGGGTACTTATTTTTTTTTCTTTCTTTCTTTTTTTCCAGAGGCAGAATTCTTACAGCATTTTTTATTTCCGAACTGGAACCTTCCTATATATGGAGGCGCTGACAAGCTAGCAAAACAGGTCTCCTTTACGGCGCTGTGGTGAGGCCTCCCCTGGAGTGGGGATGGAGAGGTGACGCCTGCACACAACCCGGCTTTCGAATCCAGTAACTTCGTATTACAGAACAAACCCCAAACAGAAACAAGCTTGACATAGAATAAAACCCCTTGGCGGGTCTGATCGTCAACTGCTCTTTTCTAACTTTTTTTTTCTCTCTCCTCTTTTTGGGTGTTGTGTCCTCAGGCTGTATCTGGGGCTAGGGTTATATTTACAGGACAGCCTGTAATTTCTGAATTGCTGAAAATTAGCATATTAACGATATCAGTAGCTCCGGAAAGGAGAGAGGGGGGACTGTTGTCTGCCATTTGGTAATTGAAATTTGATGGGTAAACTAATTATGCCATTATTGACAAATAAATTACTTATTAATTCCACCTAATGTTGATCTTTGAAGTAAATACTGATGCGTTTGTCCTCCTCCCTCTCTTCTGAATAGCAGACATGCCTAGATCCCCTTTGCACGATAGTAAAACACTGCAAACTAGCCTGTCACCGGTCTAAAAATAACTCTCACGCTGGCATACAAAGCAGAGATATTTGAGTCGGTGTACCTAGTTGATTTTTCAGACAGCAATATAAACCAACAACCTTCTCACAACTGAGTCTCGGAGACAAGGAAAGTTATAACCCAAGCCTGGGACACTTCAAAAAGAACGCCAGTTCTATCTTCAATTCTATCGGTTACTCATTCGGGCAACTAAATGCTGGGATATATCCATTTGATGGATAGTCGTTTAATACTTAGTCACATAAAGACTATTATATGAGACTAATCTTTAATTTAGGAAAAGAGGTTTAAAAAGGGATCATGTTAGCTTCAGACCGGAATCGTCCTGAAGGAACACAAAGAGGTTTCTCCACACTGGGTGCTTGTGCCCACAGAGAGCTGTCCACTGCCTTGTGGCACCCTGAATTTTTTTAAATGAAATCTGAGCCACAGACAGAAATCAGCACTGATTATGATCTTTTGATATCCTCTATAGACTGGAGTGAGGAAATCTAGCCCTCTTTAGCAAGAAAATATATACATAAATTATATGTATATATATCAACATAAGTAATACATATATATATATATATATACTGTAGATACAAATTTATGTGTATTGCACATCCGGCTATGTTTCAAGTTGGAGGAAAAGCATGATAAGGAAATCTCACCGGTTCCTGGTGTCACCAGTTTTGAGCTCAGGAGACCTAACCATGCCTGTTTAATATTATTTACAGGCATTGAGACACAGAATTCATGTTGTTTAGCCTCAGAATGGTCTACAGAGTCTCTCCTTTTAAGTATTGAGGAGACACTGGCACTGTTTTGTATATGATTAAGCTGGATGAGTTAGCGATGCCTGTTTCCGGAGGTTCTATGACTTGAGGAAGATGGGGCTTGCACAGAATCCCTCAAGGCCTGTAACTTGTCTCTGTGCTTCTATCATAAACACACACGGAGCCAGGACCACCAAGTGTTATCTCACACACCGACATTTTGACATTTTACTGCAAGATTTATGGCTGTAATAAACAGTTTCAGTGCCTTTCCTGAACCTTCCACAGCCTCCCTTGGCAAGCAAGCCATAGCATAATCCCACTGAATCGAATAATCTTTTGAAAAACGTTAAAACTAAAGAAAAGCACCTCTTGCCTTTACATAATATCCGAGACACCAAAGGAGAGCTAGGAAGAAACTAACTCAATTAGAAAAACAAACCCAGGTTTACCAGCAGCATCTTGCCAGGGGAAAAAGATGGGATGCCCTGGAATGGAGCAGAGAGGGGCATGTTAATCTTCGCACACCAACTGGCTCTAGTCCCAAGCGGGGTTGAAGCGCTATCTTTTCCTTGGGAAACTGGTAAGCACATTTGTTCATTTCCATGTGCAGAGATAACATATATTCCCCCAAAAGCTTTCTTAAAATCCCATTAAGTGAAATAACTTTTCATCATGCCCTCGAGTTCCAGATGGAGAAGGAGAGGCGACCGGAGTCTGAAGGAAAGGGGACTAGGAGGAGGCAGGGTGTGCAGCTTGGTTTGAATCTGATTTGAATCATTTTGAATATATTTGGAACAGCCTTCCCACTTGAATGCAACCCTGTCCGAAGTTTCAAAGTGACCGAACAGTGACACCGTGTGCATTTTGTTTCTTATTAATCTTACACATTGACAGTCTTTGTTAAGTCACAGGCTCGCCCTCACCAGCCGACATTTTCATATTTGTTAGACGCGCTGACCTGAAGTTCACCTCAGCCTTGGACTTTGCGCTTCTCAAAGGTCTATACAGTGTCTTTTAGAGAGTCGGGTGCTTTGCCCAGGTCAGTCCTTCCCAGGAAAAACCAAGGGTAAAAGGCAAAGGAAATGTAAGCATTATGGGATGTATTGACTGTATTTGTCCTTTGTTCTTTAGAGTGAGGGCCTCTGGGCTGTCCTCTATCTCAGGCACTTCTCTGGAGCAAATTGGGGGAATGGCAGGATTTTAAACTGCCTGGTAGTGGCATTTAAGGGATTCCTCTACCTACACTAGGCATTTGGTTATAGAGGAATAACATTCGACTGACTATTTTTACCAATTAATTTCTTTAGTGTGTAATTTCCTGGTGATGGTTTAAAATAAAAATACAGTCCAGACATAAGGACTGATATACATTTTAGGATGATTACCCAGGATTATTTATCCAGGATGGTATTCAAAACAAAACCCTAGTGATCAAGCATTCTCAAAACAGTGGCTTCCACAGGTCCATTCTGTCACTAGACAGCTAAATTCTGTTTTTTGAGTATTGGTGCTAAAACGTTTCCTAGGTATGTCACATGGCTTTAACCAAACACACAATGAAAAAATTCCCTGGAAGAGACCTCATTTCTGGGTGAAGGGGGGGAGGGAGGAATCTGGGTTCTATTCTTTTCATTTCAAGCGACCAGATGTGAAGAGCTTACTGCTATGACAGCAGTGACCTTCCATTTCATCTGGCAAACCCCATTTGGCTCCAAGCTCCTGGCCGGAGTAAAAGCTTTACACATTGCACAGTAGAGGCACTCGGGTTCCTTGCTTTCATGAAGACAACATTTGGGAAATATTTATGTTACCCCTGAATATACACGTGGCACCATTAAATCTAATTATCCTGAATGTGTAGGGATTGTCTCAAACATAGCTGCAAGGGTGACATTCCGAGTCCTTAAATTAGCCCTAAAATTAAGAAGAAAAATATTTTCTCTTTCTCATTGTTGCTTTCCTCCCTCGATCACTTGAAGGTCAACACATAGGGAAGGAAACTATGTCCCCTAGAAAGCAAATTCCAACCCACACACTTAAAGCTAATCTAGATGTATGAAAAATAAAATATTGGTTAACACTTCATTTGCAGCAGACAAATGAGGCATGGTTCCCCGTCTGCTTCTTGAACCCAGGGTTCCCCTTCTCTTCTGTCCTCCCACCCTCCTCCTTAGCTCACTCCCATGTCCTCAGTTCATCCTCCACCCCTGTTCCACACCTCTTTTTTGGAAGTATTTTCTGGAGAACAGAAGCCTGGTGCTTTTACAATGTGTCCGGGTATGGAGGAACACAGCTTCCTGCCTTCTATACCGTTACTCATCTGGCAGATTGTAGCAGTCTTTATAGCCAACAGTGGTTTCATAATAAACATAAGAGAAATGTTTCCAACCATGTGAACATAGTAACATTGATAAGCATTTTCCTGCTGGCAGTGGTGGCTTTAGGAGTCCTGTCCCTTTCATTGGGGCTTCCATGTCCCTGCTCTGACATCCTTTGCATTTAGTGAGTTGGGGGGGGGGCATAATCTATACTTGAAATTTGCCAAGAATACTCTTTGCAAGATATCTGCCCTTTTCCCCCCACTTTAGAGATTATTATATGTATTACAACATTTAAAAAAAAACACCCAGACTAATCAGAATCACTCTCCTGTTTTCATATAAAGGGGGCATAATGGAACATTCGAAACTTGCTTCTTGGTATTTTAACGATCCTCTGGTGAGTTCTAAGCATTTTTATTTTGTGACAAGCCCACAAACCCTTCTTGGTCCTCCAGCATTTAAGGTTTTGGTGTTTTGGTAATCTATGCCTATTTACCTGCTGCTATTCCCTCAGAATGGGAGTGATAAT